CTGGCCCTCATATGTGGGATCCGAACCGGGGCCCTCTGGCATCCCAAGCGAGTTCTTAACCATCGCGCCACTCGGCCGGCCCTCCCAAGCCATCTCTTAACCAACGCGCCACTCAGCCGGCCCCCTAGAGATTTTCTAACCTATTTCTGATCGCTTCTCTCTACCTGTGTTTCCACTGTGACTTTGGACTTTTCAATTCTGTTATGAAGAGGTTGAATTGCATACCTTTCCATCTGCTTCTCCAGCCTTCAAGTGAGTGTGTAGCTTCTGTGTATTAAGATGGAAGTCTGGTTAATTACTGATGAGTAGAGTGAAACAGGCGAATTAAAACATTTTAGCAAAATGGGTAAATCATAAGATTTAAGCAGTCCTGAGCCTATAGTAATAGTTACTTTGCTTTTCAGCAGGATGTAAGTGGAGTGAGTGAAGTGGGTCATGATTTTTATGGACAGCCTCTTGTGAGGTACAGTCACTTTTTAGAAAAGGGACTACTCTGATGAATTGTCTTGAACATTTTGTTTTCTCTTCAGAAGAATATGTAATTGTTTAAAACACAGTGCACCTGGCTTAGAGTTTATAGGGGGCCTTTTAATTTTAGCAAATACAGTTTTGAATCCCAACACAGCCATATTAAATCCCAGGCTCCCATTGCAGGGAGCTGGAAGAAAGCTATAATAATAATATTAATATATTAATATAATATATAATATTAATATAATAAGTTGTAGTGACTGAGTCATGTCTACTGTGGCTGAAATTCAGAGAGTTGTCTTCTTTAATCACTGATAATTTTAATGAGAAGTAAAAAAAATCAGATCATTGTGTTAACAACAGTGAAATAGTTAGTTTATTTTTATGAAAAACAAAACTGTTTCCATATAATCCTGTAGTAGATTAACATTTTTTTCAGTGTTATTTCCATTGTGTTAATGTTCTTGCAGTTATTTTAAAAAAATTGATAGCAGATTTCAGAAAATCCTTTTAGAAAAATAAAGTATTGATACAAAGAAACCTCACTTTTTTGTGTGGGTAGTATTCATTTTTTAAAACAGCTTTAAAATATTTACATACCATAAAGTTCATCCATTTAAAGTGTATAGTTAAATGGTATATTTGCAAGGTTGTACAATTATCACCACAATCTAATTTTAGAATATTTTCATCACCCCCAAAAGAAATCCTTCTACCCAGTAGCAATCACTTTCCATTTTTGAGTAAAGTATTGTGATTCTTGTATAACACTGGAGTGTTTTAGTTATAGGAAATGGGTTAGTTCTAAATAAATTTGATGTCTTCGGTTTGTATTAGTTTATAGGTCAGCAGAATTTCCCCAAGCAATTGCATGTGTTTCATTACAATCTTACTTGTCACTGATTTTTCTGCTATTGCTGCAAAGAAATTTGCCCCGGGTGGGTACAAAGTAACAGAAACCGAGAAATACCAGGATAACTGCCTGTGATAGGATATACATGTATATCACATTCAGTTGTGGGCAAGCATAGCGGCTAAACCAGCGATTTTGAAGTTCCCTCATTCTGCAGACAAATTTTTGTTAGTGGGATGCTTTATTCAGGCTTAATTTCTTCAGTGAGTATTGTATCCATGAAAATGTGGTTCGTACTTTTATGGGAGGTAGAAATATAGGCCACCTGGCCTTTCTGTGTTTTATGGGCAAAGACTGTAACTTCTACTTTGGCCTGCTTTCCCAGAAATGCAGATCGTGAGGCTGGGTCAGTAAATTGTTTCATCTCTACAGAATAATGCAGTAGTATTTTAACATGTACAATGGTAATACAATCTCAGCTTGATTAATTTAAAATATTTTCACCTATAAAATTTTTTATTCATAGGGGGGCATGTTACTTCAGCAGGCATCTAATTCAACCTTTCCGACAGTACAGTAATTTCTCTATCACCCTTGAAATACAGTCATCTAAGCCTTGCTTGAGTACTTTTAGTTAGGAGCTGGCACTTTTGTGAGGCAATCCCTTTTCACTGTTCTGATTCTTAGGAAATTCTTATATAAATTCCACTGAAATCTGCTTCCCTCACTTCCTACTGACTTCTTAGTTTTGCTATCTAGAACAAAATAATTGTAATCTGTTCTCCGTAAAATCATCTTCAAACTAAATATTCCTGGCTCCTTTAATCATTTTCATAAAGGCATAATGATCTGGTCTTTGCAATATTGGTTACCTTTCTAGATACCTTTTAGCTGCTCACTCTCAGATGTTCAGAATGGTTGTAAGTAAACAAAACAGAACATGGTTATCTAAAAGTGGCCTGATGGAGGCTAGAAGCAATGTCTCATCCTGTAGCACGTTGCTTATTCCTCGGCAATCAACAGGAATATTGCATCGTTTGACTTTATATTGGGTTGTCGGAAAAGTCATGATGCATTTTTGCAATGAAAAACATAGAAAAAATACGTCATCACTTTTCCGATAACCTAATAATTTTTCTAGACACTTCCTCTCGCTACTAAACCATAAAGAGCTTGTGAGCAACTAAAACCTTTAAGTTCTTGTAATAGTCAGTAGGCTGCTATATTGAGTGTTAAGACTTCAAGTTTCTTTTGCTTTTTGGGCATTTCTCTATCTGGAAAACAAATGTTAAACTTTGATATCTTTCAGATGAAGTGAAGAAGATCTTAGACAAGTTTTACAAGAGGAAAGAAATTCAGAAACTGGGTGCTGATTATGGACTCGATGGTAAGGCTAATAACATTCCATTAGAGATATTTTATTACTTAGATTACAGCTTTGTCAGTTTTGTGTGGCACCTTGTGTGGCCTGGACATAACTACTTAGTTATAACCTGGAGGATGTCCCAGACTTTTGCTTCTGTCTGGGCAGGAGATCGGCTAGAGGTACCTGGTGAACCAGAGCGCACAGCAAAGAAACTGTGTATTCGACTTTCCTTCATGTCGTGCTAGGATTTCAGTTTTAGCTCAGATCATAATAAACCAGCTATATTACCAAACAAAAAAAGACACTTGATGAGTTAGGTGTGATTTGTATATGTACTTTTTAAAATGAGAAATGAAATGAAAACTAAGTCCTGCCTATTTTGATTTTGTGTTCCCTGTAGCTCGTCTCTTCCACCAAGCTTTCATAAGCTTTAGAAATTATATCATGCAGTCTCATTCCCTGGATGTGGACATTCACATTATTTTGAATGATATTTGCTTCAATGCAGGCAAGTGTTTATAGCGACTTTTAAAAATCCTGTTGAGCATATTTTCTGGTTTTTTCCATACTTCATGTTTATTTCTCTAGTCAGGGCTTATTTGTTATAGAATAAGCCCTATTATTATTCTCTGTAGATAATTCAATGCTTGAGTAGGAGGCTGTCTGGATCCTTTTGCTTTTATAGTGGGTCCCTGAGCTAGTTATGAAATCACAATATGTCTTAGACTGGAGGTAGATTTGATCTGTCACTATCTGCTCTTCACTATATGCTAATAATATAGGACATAGTGAAATGAAATGTTACACAAAATAGAATTAATGCATAGCAGATTCCATCTGTTTCTGCCACTGGCTTCTTCTCCCTCATATCAGGAAAACAGCTCTTGCCATAAAAGAAAAATAGGTAAGGGCATGATTATTTTGTCCCATGGGCAGCTTGGCTTTGATTATGTATTTTAAATGTATGTATTTGACTATTAGACCTTTACGCTGTGCCAAGTGCTGAGATAGAGCCTGGGTACAAAGCAGAATGTGACACTGCCTCCCCGCTCAGACCCACCACTGAAGTGTGGAGAATTCTTGCTGAGGAATCAGTTCACTTTCATGTTTTGTCTCACAGTGAGTGGTCTCGGTAGTGTAAAAAATGTTTGCACCTGCAATTCTCTTTAGTAACTACAGGCTTTCTTTCTCATGTATATTTCCAGGTTCTTTAGTTTTAATTTAACTTTCACCAGTGCTGATCTTCACGTTTGCATTGAAGGAGTAGAATGTGGTGGTTGGGAGCCAATTTTCTGTTTTCCTAGAAAATGTAAGTGGAATTAGGAGGCACACATAAAACAAAGCAGGATCTCAGAAAAGGGTACAGTTCCTTGCTCCAGGGTTTTTCTTTTATCCTGGCAGTGTCCCTCTAACTTAGCTCACTAAGAAAAAAGGTTGCACTAAGTCTAGCTATGGATAACGTGTAAATTGCACATGTTAATACAGTGTTTTATTTTCCAGCTCACGTGGATGATTTATTTCCATTTTTCTTGAGACATGCTAAACAGATATTTCCAGTGTTGGAATGTAAGGATGATCTACGGAAAATCAGTGACTTAAGAATACCACCTAATTGGTCAGTTTCTTCATTTGTGGATTTGAAATTTTAAGTTTCTAATCTTGGGAGACCTAGTGATTATTATATTTTTTCATTATATGCCAGACACTAAATCACAAGGAGCGTAGATTGTATTGTTTTCCCTAGAAAAACAGACAGTTAATTCTGGCAGGAAATTAGCTGGTGTCCCCCTTAATCCTGATCCAGCTTGGTTTTAGGTTTTATTACTACAGACCTAGAGTAGCCCTTACTTTAGGGTGTTGTCCCACAAGGTGTCACCTTTCTGTTGTCTCGTCCGAATGCCTGGGGTGTTAGTGAGCTCTCTCACCAGCACCGAGGCTGGAACTCCAACATCTCTTAGCACTTAGCCACCTCATTGAGACTTTCTGTTCAAACCCTTAGCAAACTGTTCTCTGCCAGGGCCTGCACATGTTCAGCCCAGCCCTTGGCCAAGGACCCACGGGTTACTCCCATACAGACCTCAAGGCTCCCCTCCACTGCACCCTTTCTTCTCTTCCACATTTTGTCCTGTAATTTCGAGCTACTTTAGCAACTCTGAACTTGATCTCTGCTGCTCAGCTCAGTGGGACTATAGTACAGTGCTTAGGTTCTACCTCTCTGTGCCCTATTGGGGTGCAGAAGGGCTCATCTCAAGTGTTCTCTTTTTTCAGGGCCTGTAGTCCTGTACTGCCTGTTATCCATGTCCCTAAGCTCCTGCAGTCTTTATTTACTTTGTCCAATTTTGTACTTGTTTATGGTGGGAAGGCAAGTCCATCATTACCAGAAGCAAAAGATGTGACCGTTTTATTGTATATGTTGAAATTCTGAAGGCTGGGAATATTTGTTTGTAGGGTCATATGTTTAGAGCTGTGGAAATGATGTGAACGTATCTATGGAGCGGATAGCAGTTCAAATTTATTTTAAGTAACCCCTGAGGAAAAGGGATTTGTACAGTGGCAAAAAAATCCAAGAAATTAATTTGCATTTGGATTTTTCTGTCCTCTAGTTAGTAAATGTTATTCTTAGAAAGCAGTTGTTATTTTAGTGTGGATATGAAACTCATCACTTAAGTTCTTCAAAGACGTTATCTTGTGAATGTTAAGAAGATGTTTCATTGGAATTTTTTTTCAGTTGATAACTTGGCCAAGATGGATTTTGAGATTAAGCTGTTTACCTATTCATCTTTTAGGTACCCAGAAGCCAGAGCCATACAGCGGAAGATAATCTTCCATTCAGGCCCCACAAACAGTGGAAAGACTTACCATGCAATTCAGAAATACTTGTCAGCAAAATCTGGAGTGTATTGTGGACCTTTAAAATTACTGGCACATGAGATCTTCGAAAAGACTAATGCTGCTGTCAGTGTATTACCAATTATTCACTCTTTTTCTTGTTAATTTTGTGTGTTTGTGTGTGGGGGGAGGGGTGGAGGGAGTGATAAGAGTGAAGATGGGAGGGAGGGAAGGGCATATGTAGTAATTTACTATTAACAGAAATTGCCATATTTCGTTGCACCTAAGAAGCCATCAATTGTAAGATGTGCTATTATTTTATGTACAGCTGAGAAAGAAAAAGATACTGCCAGCTCAACTGTGACATGCCATCAGTTGTTAAGATGCATCTTGATTTCAGAGATACTAAAATGTGAAAAAATATTTTAGTGAATAAAATACAGTGTTACAGAATATTGCACATATAGAGATAGGCAGAGAATAACAAACAAGCTGAACCCTCTAGTCATCTCCCGTCAGATTCTAACATTTGCCATACTTGATTTATTTACTTTTTTAAGAAATAAAATTAATTGGTACATTTGAAACTCTCTGAACACCTTCACTGCCTCCTCAGAGTTAAAACCACTTCTCTGTTACGATGTTTAATTTACCTTTTTTTAGATTAGACCTCTGATGCTCTCAACATGAACCAATGATAAATATTGAAGCCACCTTTTCAGCCCTGAAAAGGATTGAATGTCCTGCGGTCTGAGGCATCATTTTACTAAACAGGCCAAAATTTGGTTCATTGTTTTATTATGACTTTATAATGTGAGATTAACCAGTTTTGGTTAATTTGCATTCTCTCTTTTTTTGTTCTGAATAATTTGTGTAATTTGCTTACATAATTGCCTCTCTATAAATACTTAAAGTATTTCCTCAGAACAAAGACTTTCTTTTACATAACCACAGGATATTTATCTAAAGCAGGACATTTATTATTGATAGAATACTATTATTTAATCCACAGCCTATATTCAAATTTTGCCAACTGTTCATAACAACAGCAACACTTCCCTTCCCCCTTTCCGGGCTGCTCGCCCCGCCCCCAGATTCTGTTCAGGGTCTCACACTGTATTTCATTGTCATGTCTCTAGTTTCCATTAATCTGGGACAATTTCTTAGTCTGCCTTTGTCTTTCATAACCTTTACACTTTGGAAGACTACTACAGGTTATTTGTGTTGTAAACTGTCACTCAGTCTAGATGTGTCTGATGTTTCCTCATGATTAGTTTCAGGCCACTAGGGAGACAGGCTGTCCCAGTTTGCCTGGAGTTTTCCAAATTTAGCACCAAAAGTCCTTCGTCCTGGGGAACCCATCAGTGCTAGGTGAAACAGGGTGGTTGATCGCTGTGTTATACCCTAGCATTGATGTTGGTCCTTCTTAAGGAAATTATATGCATGTTAGGAGGACTTTATGTTCTTAAATTTTATTTATAATATTTGTGAATATAGAAACAATTCATGTTCATTTTATTTTAATAAACCGAAAGAGTACAGAGACAGATAAAGTTAAAAAGTGAAACTGCTACAATTTGTCATGCTTTTGTTATCTGAGAAGTTAGCTGACTTGAGATATTTCCAAGTTTATCTAAGTTATGTAAGAGAGTAGCTTTTATTTTTTATGAAAAAATTTTTTTAAAGAATTGGGAATATTTTGTTTCGGCTATTAGACAAATTTGATGGTAATGGGGAGAATATTCTGGTAAACACCCAAAACTTTTTGCTGTTGTTTTAAAGGTGAAATAATCCAGGTTTCTTTTTCTCATCCTAGGGTGTACCATGTGACTTGGTAACAGGTGAAGAACGCGTGACAGTAGAGCCAGATGGGAGACAGGCTGCCCACGTTGCTTGTACTGTTGAGATGTGCAGTGTCACAACTCCTTGTATGTATACACCATTTAAAAAGCTTTATCATTTAGTATTTTTTTAATTTTAAAATATTGATGAACATATGAAATGATTTTTATTGTGAAAAAAAATTTAAATTGAGACGAAGAAGGGAATAATACAACAAATACGCTGTACCTCCCATCACCTATAGATACCCAAAACTCTCCATCATGTTTGCTCTTGAGTGTTCTTTCCCTTTTTCTCTTACAAGAACTAAAATGTTACCAAATATGATATTACCGTATTTGCCGGCATATAAGACGACTGGGCGTATAAGACGACCCCCTAACATTTCCACTCAAAATACAGAGTTTGTTATATACTTGCCGTATAAGACTACCCCCTCTTCCGCACACCTTCCACACACCAAATAAAAGGTAAAACAATATCAGATTTGATTTGGCCCACTGAAGTGCAAACAAGCGTATTGTATTTCGTGTCACCACATAACCGTTTTGGCGATGTTGAGCCACCATGTCTGCTACATGTTTTTCGAGTTCTGGCCAGTGTGGGGTGCCTCTTCTTAATGCACACTTACCCCTTGGCATACTCTTTAATGCTTTCTCATTTGATTTCCAGTCCCGAACCATCTTTTCTGTTACTCCATATTGTCTTGCAGCAGCACAATTATTATTTTCCTTAGCAAAGTTTATAACTTTCAGTTTAAAATTTGCATCATACTTCTTTCTTTTGGCTGGTGCCATGATAGGGATGATAGGGGTTTGACTGGTCGACATTTTCTATGCTGTACTGTACAATGGTGCAGTATTGTGGTTGGCTGTTGGCTGTATACAAAGCCTGATTTGATTGGTCCCTGCTCCCTGTTTGCCCGCCCTGTCACTATAGCAGTCTGGTCCACCCTTGCATCAGCATCTCCCTGGGACCTCACTAGTGCGCAAGTGCGAGCTCTTCAACATTCTAACAGGCACCATGATAGCGCAAAATCGCGAATCTTCAATGCATATGTAAAGAAATATACAGTAACCCGAATTTACCACACTCGCAAAATCGCATAACAGCCGAGCATACACCCAGCAGCGCTGCTGATGCCTGAACGGTATGTGGAATGAAGTGGGCGGGCATCGGGAGGCCACTATGGCACGGGGCAAGCACTATGGGCAGTCTATCTGAAGTGTACCTGGCGTATAAGACGACCCCCCACTTGGAGGCATATTTTTCAGGGCCAAAAAATCGTCTTATACGCCGGCAAATACGGTACCTTTGTACCACTCCTCACTTCAATTCCTTCCCCCTCTTTTGATTCACTTGGTATCGAGTGTTTGGTGTTTATCTTTCCTGTCTTTTTATATCACTGATATATATTACCTATCAATACTATAGATTGTGGGGGGTTTCTTTAATTAAAAAAAATTTCTCTTCATGTATTGATTTATTTTTAAATGTTTAACATAATTTAACTTACAGAAAAGTTACAAGAACAACACAGACTATTCCTATATACATGTCTTCTGGGTTCCCCAAATATTAATATTACATTATTTTCTATATCTCTATCTTTCTAACTCTCTATATATTGGGTTGTCGGAAAAGTTATGATGCATTTTTGCAACAAAAAACAAAAAAATACGTCATGACTTTTCTGACAACCCAATATCTATCCATATATTTTTTTCTGAAGCCTTTTTTTTTCTTTCTTTTAAGATTTTATTGGGGAATTAGGGGAGGGGAACAGTGTTGGGGAATCGGGGAAGGGGACCAGCCAAGTTGTTCTTCAATCTTCATTGTGGAGCGCGCCAGTCGCCATCTGGCTTCGTGTCGGCAGCTCGTGGCCTCTACGCTTGAGGTGCTGTGTTCAATCTTAGTTGCAGGTGAGCGTAGCCACAATCCCATGTGGAAGTCAAACCAGCCTTGTTGTTAAGAGCGCACGCTCTATCTACTGAGCCATCCGTGCGGCAGCTCAGCTCAACGTGCCGAGTTCAGTCTTAGTTGCGGGTGGGCATAGCCCACCATGGAACAGGCAGTCTTGTTGTTAACACCAGCTGAGCCATCCTGCCACCTGTTGGCATCTCAGCGACAGCTCAGCTCAGGCGCAGCATCACTGGCCCATGTGGGAATCGAACCGGCGGCCCTGTTGCTCAGAGCTTGTACTCTTAAGCCAACTCTTAAATTAACCAACTGAGCCACTTGGCCGGCCCATGATAAGTAATTTTAAATCTGATAGTTTTTCAGTATGCCAAGGGTGCAGAGTGCCAAAAAATGTATACAAGTGGACACTTTGGTCAGCGTTGCTCAAGCTGTAGTTTGCTGTAATCAGAAGTGTCTGGACACTGATGGTAACTACTTTGAGCACCTCTTGTAATTGCAGAAGTAAAACATGACTTGTATTCATCTTTTGTTATTGGTATATATTGAGTATTACAATTTCAATACAGTTTTCCTTTCTTAAAATGTGTGTACATTTTTTTGGTACCCTCTGTAGAATTAGCTTTCTTTTGTTTTCTAAATGTCATTGCAGGCATATTAAATTTTTTAAATTTAATGTCCTCTTCTCAGCTGTTTGGTATTTTGGGAAGCAAATTAAAATATAATTTATGTGACTTAAATTAGAATAAAATAATATGGTTGGAAGCATTTTGGCATTAGAAAATAAAATGAGGCACTAACGTTTGCTATAGTGATGAGCTTAAAACTCCTAAGAATGAGCATAGCTGGAGCTTAGGGAATTACACTTTCCACTCTACTTTCTGCTTCTGGCACCCGTCTGGGTTCCTGTGGTAGAGATGCTTCATTTACTACAGGGCTATCTCCTCCAGGTCCCTGGAAGCATAGATACTTAATCTTTTACTGCTGTGTAGGTGTGTTAGTTTTGATTAGGCAGATTCTTCAGGCCGCCTCTGAGGTTGCAGAAAATAGGACAAATGAACCTGCTTAATTTGGGAGGCAGTTCAGTATAGTGGTTAAGAGTATGGACTTTGGAGCTCGATGGCCTGGGTTTGAATTTCATGTCATTTGATCTTACACTTAACTGCACATACTGTGTAATGTTGGGCCAGTGACTTAACTTCTCTGAGATGATGATAACTTTCCTCATACATTTGTTGTGAGATTTAAATGAGTATAATTGTAAAGCATTTAGAACAAGACTGGCAGAAAAGAAGCACTTAATAATCAATGATGAGTATGGTGGTGATGAAAGCTTGAATTTTGGTGTGGTAATTTGTTTATAATACGATTTACGTAGATCATATTGTTCACAGTAACTTTTTATTTTAAGATGAAGTGGCTGTGATTGATGAAATTCAAATGATTAAAGATCCAGCCAGAGGATGGGCCTGGACCAGAGCGCTTCTAGGTGGGTGGTCTTAATGCTGTAACACCTGTGCTTTGTGACATCTGCACTGAAATGCATTTATCTGCTTGATATTGCCAAGTAGAGCCAGCTAGATCCTTTCTTTTTGACACATCAAACTAAGTGTGAGTTTTATTTCCCAAATAGTATTTTAATAATGGAAAGTCCATTTTTTCCTGTTATAAAGTTAGCATAACCATTGAATTAAAGTTAAAATGTTTAAATCTCACTATATTTACATACCCGCTATTAAGATTTTGGTGTGTTTCATGCCAGTCTTTTTTCTTATGCATATGGTGTTTTGTGACTATTTAATTTTGTGTCTTGTAATTTTGTGTCTTGCTTTTTTTAGATCTGTTTCAGACATTTTTTGTACCACATACTAATATTGCATATGCTCCATGGAAGAGCAGTGCTATAATTTTTTTCTACAGAGTTGAACATTTTCCCCTATTATGAATAATGCTTCAGTAAAAATCTTTGTGGCTATAGCTTTTTTTTTTTTAAGATTTTATTGGGAAATTGGGGGAGGGGAGCAGCACTGGGGAATTGGGGAAGGGGAACAGACAAGCTGCTGTCCTTTTTTTCTTCAGTCTAGTTGTGGAGGACATTGTTTCACTGGCCCATGTTGGTATTATCATTGCGCTGTTCCCTGGTGAGGTAGATCGGTCTCCGGCCTCTGGATGGCTGCTCACACCGGCTGCTGGCCGCTCACGCTGGCTGCCGGCCACACACGGTAGCTTATGGCAGCCCACTGCAGCAGGGGCTGCAGCCTATGCTATTGCCGGCGACTTGGCAGCCCAGCTCCAGGTCGAACTGTTGTTCACCATCTTAGCTGTAGAGGGCGCAGCATCACTGGCCCTCATGTAGGATCCGAAACCGGGTCCTGCTGCTCAGAGCTGGTGTCCCAAGCCAACTCTTAACCAACGTGCCACTCGGCCGGCCTGCTATAGCTTTTTATTTATTTATTTTATTATTTCTTTAGAATGGGCTCCTGGAAGTGGAGTTCTTGAGGTCCACAGACATGAATGAATGTTATTGGAGTGAATTTTTGATCAGCATGTTGTAGGTCAGGTGTTTTCAAATTTAAGAACAAATAGCTGAACTCTTTCTTCAAACAAGAGTATTCTTTGAAGCCTATAATGTAGAAATAGATGAAAGTGGATCTGCTAAGGGATAAAACAGCTTTTCCCTCTACCCTGCAGCACCCAGCCTCTGAGGCACCTCAGTGATTCCATGGAGCCTATTTTGAAAAACAAGTATGGGACTAATGTTCAGTACTAACCATAAAATGCCAGGTTCTAGTCCTGGCTGGCATCACCCTCTAAACCTTGGCCGAAGCAATTTAAAAGCCCTGAGATTTATAAAAATTTAGATAATCTTGGCCCACTAGAAAGTTGTTGTTTTGAAGTTTGAATAAAAGGTAATATTTATGAAAACATTTGGTAAAGTTGTAAAGCAATAGGTAACAAACTATCTTTGCTATGTAAATTTTACATCTTTGCATATTTAATTTTATATCTTCAAAATTTTTTAAATTGTGATTTTGCATTTAACAGGACTCTGTGCTGAAGAAGTCCATTTATGTGGAGAAGCTGCTGCTATTGACCTAGTTACTGAGCTAATGTACACAACTGGCGAGGAAGTGGAGGTACTCACTTTGTTCTCAGGATGGCACAGCACACGGCCCCGAGTACCCAGGCAGTGGCTTCATAGGCACGAGACAGTGGCAAAATCAGAACTTAACTAGCAAGAAAGCTTCATTTCCTTGTAGTTGACTAGAACATACATATTAGGTTGAACCTCATGATCTGAAGTTCTGACAGTGGCCATCACACCCTGCGTCTTCCAAAAGGACAACAGTCTTCATCTTCTCTTGACAAAAACCTGGAGTTTGAGCAGATATCTTTAGAATTACATAAATCAGGAATGTTGGGAGTTTGAAGCTCAGCAAAAGTTTGTGGTTTGTAAAGTCTCATAATTGGATAATTGGGACCTTTGATATACCTCTAATTACTAAAGATATTTTGTATTCCCTTTCTGATTACTAGAGGAGGAAGTAACTGGCTTTCTTTTAATCCCACTTTTCATTTTCTTTACCAGAGTTCTATAATAAGATGAAATATTTTTAAATCGGTCCATCACTTTAGTTTTGTGCTCAGGTCTCAGGGAGAAATAGTGAAATGTAGTGGAAGAAATTCTGGATTCTAGTCTTTCTTGGCATTGCTGTTATTAGCTTTGTGTTCGTACGTAAACCACAGAAGGCTAGACCTGGAAAAATCCTCATCAGATCTGCTCTTTTATTGGGCTCTATTTTACTCTTTCATAAAATGGAAATAACAGTTAATATAATAGCCCTTCTGAACTTAACTGAGTTGCCGTGAAAATCAAATATATATATGAAAGTCCTTTGAAAATTTATGAAACACTGTAACCTTTTATTAATTTAGAAATACCAATGAGAAATGAAGGTAACATTTATAATAGTAAAATAAACTTTTTTCTGCATTTTCCCTTGAAAAACATTGTAACTTGTCAGTTTTTAGCTACATTTGAATGCTTTGCAAGTTTTTCACTTAGTAACTAATCACAAGAAGTTGAATTAAGTGTGTTATTTTACAATGTCATGTCTTTATTAAAGGTTCGAAACTATAAGAGGCTTACCCCCATTTCTGTGCTGGATCATGCGCTAGAATCATTAGACAACCTTCGGCCTGGGGACTGCATTGTCTGTTTTAGCAAGAATGATATTTATTCTGTGAGTCGACAGATTGAAATTCGGGGATTGGAATCAGCTGTTATATATGGCAGTCTGCCACCTGGTAATTGTTGGCTTTAATCATAATTCAATCTGAAATCATACTTATATTGAGATATGTATAGAAAACATAGTAAAAGATATTGAATTAAGTTGCTTGATATATTAGTAATTTGTTATAGGTCATATAAAGTAAATGTTTCTCCAGTTCATCATGGGGGGATAGAAGAATTTTAATTATGTCTAGCTCTTGTTATTAGACTATAAATGTTGAGCTGATGATTTTCTTACAGAAACGTCATTAAAATATGAACTTAGTAATAGTCTTCAGGTTGTAGTCCTAAAATCTGCTAATATGTGTCCTCAGAAATGATAAGGCTAGTGTGGTGGGGGTCGTGTTGCTCTCTGTGGGAATATTTAAAAGAGTGGAAAGAAAGGATAAGTGGCTTTTTGAGGATATAAAGAAATAAATTTGAAAGAATAAGGGATTTATCTATTAAAATGGAGAGTAGAAGGTGAAGGTTTTCAAGATCTACTTAGTGTGATGTAGTAAAAGAATGAGAACACTGATTTAACATAAACGATTCTCATTTTAGGGACCAAACTTGCTCAAGCAAAAAAGTTTAATGACCCTGATGATCCCTGCAAAATCCTGGTTGCTACGGATGCGATTGGCATGGGACTTAACTTGTAAGTAATTTGTTAATAGTCATGGATATTCAATGGGTTAGATGGCAATTTAAAATTTCTAGTTGGTCTTAGACCAAACCCTTTAATTTAGGGGAATGGGTATCACAGTATAGATCTGCGATTTATCTAGCTTCCACCTGTTACAGGAGTAAAAAGAAAATGTCATATAGCCCTAGGACTGTGAGTGCTGCTCCCGCCGCTGGTAACCTGTACATTACCTCCCTTTATTTTCAGTTTCTCAGTCAACAAGTGTATGAGTGCCTGTTATATGTTTGTGGGGCTAGCTATTATCTGCAGGGAGAACAGTATTAAGCTTAAATGTTCCTCTCTGGGGAATGACTCAAAAAACTATTCAAAGCTTTTAATAGCTTTTAGAAGCAGCCTGAGAACACTTTATGTGGTTTATTTGTGAAAAAGTTATATTCTGTAGCCTTATTGAGGTATAATTTACATACCCATTGTAAATGTACAATTTGATGATTTTTAGTAAATTTACAGTTGTTAAAAAATACTATTTAAAGGGAAGAAAAAGAATTACCAACAAACCTCTTTTTCTTAATTTGAAAACAGTGGGCAAGATTGCAAATAGGCCTAACCTAGAATCAGAGTGAGCATGTCTGCAGTGACCCAATGATGGGGGATTTTGCATATAACCATTTGTAAGATCACTTTTACTTCTATTTCAGGAGCATAAGACGAATTATTTTTTACTCCCTTATAAAGCCCAGTATCAATGAAAAGGGAGAGAAGGAACTAGAACCAATCACCACTTCTCAAGCCTTGCAGATTGCTGGCAGAGCTGGCAGATTCAGTTCAAAATATAAAGAAGGAGAGGTTACAACAATGCATCGAGAAGACCTCCGCTTATTAAAAGAAATTTTGAATAGGCCTGTGGATCCTATAAGGGTAAGGTGTAACATGTTAATTACTTCTCTTCCTTCACCCACCTTCCAAACTCTTGCCTTAGACACCTGGAAACAAATAAAAAAAGAAAAATTTTATGCCATGAAAATCGTATCAAGAAAGTCCTACTGTATTGCTTTGAAGAGAGATAGAGACCTCTCTGGTTGAGAAGGGTGTGCAAATGAAAGACCCAGATGGAACATGTTTAGTAAACCTGATTTTCCTTTAGTTCTTTCTATAATTTAGCAGCGTGTGGGTATAGGGGCACAGTTGCTTCAGGTGAGCACACAGCTATGTCAGCAGACTGGAAAATTGCCAGAAACTTGAATGTAGAAAAAACCCTTGAGTGCGGGGCAAAACAGCACTAAGCAATACAACTTCGAGGCAGTAAGTAAGGACAAGGTTAAGTTTTGGCTAGTGTTATTAATGAGGCAGAAATGTACATACTTTAAACTAACTGTTACAAAGTTGCCTGGAAAATTTACCTAAGTGGCTCTTCTCATTTTTCAGTGACTCTGGGTATGAAGGGGAATGTAAATGAGATCACGCAAGAAAAAGTTATTGGAGGAAACTGTGGTTAGAATCATTTCTGTAGCTTTTGTTAGATTGCAGTTAATAATGACACACCCCATTTGCCTCCTGTGTACCTCATTTCTTGTGTTCATATTCTTCCTCCCACCATGACTCCTTTTTCTTTCTCATTCTTTTTCTCTTTTTTTTCTAGCTTATTCTTATAATACCTGTTGGCATTTCTTAACACTGCAGTATACAGTTAAAGAGATAACTGACTTCCAGTTTAGACATTTTCTCATGTACTTATATGTCTGTATGTATGTATGTCAGTTATATTGTCTTGGTTAAAGCAGTTAGGTTTTCCTGGTTCATTTTGTTCAGTGGAGAGAATTGAGACTCTGGAAAGCATTTTAGTACGCTACCAAATCATTATAGATTTTAGAAATATAATAAAAATTTAGGTGAAAGATTGATTACTCAGTGGGTATAATTGGTTTGTTTCAATAAATCATCTCATTAGCTTTCCTAATTGGTAATAAATAGGAAAATTATGATGTTCTCCATTTTACTCAAAATACTACATAGGACTTTATCTTGAAATAACTTAGGAAAACTTGTCCTTTTAAAAAATAAACTTATGGTTGTTTTTTTCTTTTACTAAAGGCAGCTGGTCTTCATCCAACTGCTGAACAGATTGAAATGTTTGCCTACCATCTCCCAGACACAACACTTTCTAATCTCATTGTAAGTAGAAATTCACTTTGAAATCTCTTTTCTAAAAATGTTGATATGTCAGACAATTACTGGTTAACCTTATGAGCATGAATGGATAGCCTGTTTTTGTGAAATTGCTATTTATGAAGTTCATCTTGAAAGCGAAAACTTTCAAAATCTTCTGGGACTTTGGTCTGAGTATTTGAGGTGGGAAGACTGCAGGGGAACCTGTTAGCTTGAGGAGGCAATGAACAAAGCAGGCCTTTCTAGAAGTCTTATATGGATTAAAGAGATTGTCTTTTGTATACTTGAGTGCTTTATTTGAGCCCAATTAGGCAGTCCAGTAATTTAATTATCTTTCCCCCTCCCCCTAGGATATTTTTGTAGACTTTTCACAAGTTGATGGCCAGTATTTTGTCTGCAATTTGGATGATTTTAAATTTTCTGCAGAGCTGATCCAGCATATTCCATTAAGCCTACGGGTGAGGTATGTTTTCTGCACAGCCCCTATCAACAAGAAACAGCCTTTTGTCTGTTCTTCATTGTTACAGGTAAGCCTTTATCTTCATTGTATTTTGAGTTGTTCCAGGTTGATACATTTCCCCCAAACAATACTTTGTTACTCAAAACACTTGTAGAATACCTTTTTTTTTTTTTTAAAGATTTTATTGGAGAATTGGGGAAGGGGAACAGCTAAGTTGTTGTCCTTCAGTCTTAGTTGTGGAGGGCACAGCTAGCTCAGCTCCAAGTCCAGTCACCATCCGCCTGTCAGCAACTCGTAGCCCTTTGGTTCAAGGTGCCATGTTCAATCTTAGTTGTGGGTGGGCATAGCCCACTATCATATGCGGAAGTCAAACTGGAAACCTTGTTGTTAGGAGCATGTGCTCTCACCAACTGAGCCATCCTGCCACCTATTGGCAGCTCAGTGGCAGCTCAGCTCGGGCTCAGCTCACTGGCCCATGTGGGAATCAAACCGGCAACCTGTTGCTCAGAGCTCACGCTCTTAACCAACTGAGCCGCTCGGCCAGCCCTAGAATACCTTTCAATATGAGATAACTATGAAAGAAAGAACTTAAATATAAATGACTCTTTTTCTTAGAAATAATTTTTTTGGGAAAGGAGAAACCTTTGCTTTGTATTTAGGCTTATATGGTAGCGTTTGTGAAGAAGCTAAAACAAACATTAAATACAATTTTTTTCAAGGGATGGGGGCCTCTTTGCATGATGATACACTTTTTCCTTATTGGTATTGGGTAATAGTGTTTGGAAGGGGGGTTTGGGGGCTTAGTGGTGGCAATAATATTCAGGTTTTTTAACTATAAGGTACTGAGCCAGGGATTGCTATCTTGCATGAGTTTGGTGTCAAGGGTTCAATATCTCTCTCTTTTTTTTTTTTTTAAATTGGGGAATTTGGGGAGGGGAACGGTGTTGGGAAATTGGTGAGGGGGACCAGACAAGTTGTTGTTCTTTAATCTTAGTTGTGGAGAGCGAGGGCACCAGTTGCCATCTGGCTCCCTATCGGCAGCTTGTGGCCTTTAAGCTCAGGGTGTTGTGTTACAATCTTAGTTGCGGGTGGGCGTAGCCACCATCCCATGCGGGAGTCGAACCAGCAGCTTTGTTGTTAAGAGTAAGAGTGCACGCTCTCTCCACTGAGTCATCTGGGTGGCAGCTCAGCTCAAGGTGCTGAGTTCAGTCTTAGTTTCAGGTGGGCATAGCCCACCATCAAGCAGGCAGTCTTTTTTTTTTTTAAAGCTTTTATTGGGGAATCGGGGAAGGAAACAGACAAGTTACTGTCCTTTTGTTCTTCAGTCTAGTTGTGGAGGATGTTGCTTCACTGGCCCATGTTGGTATTAACATTGTGCTCTTCCCGGGTGAGGCAGATCAGTCGCCGGCCTTTGGACGGCCGCACACGGTGGCTCTTGGCAGCTTATACCAGCTGCCGGCCACACACGGTAGCTTATGGCAGCCCACTGCAGCAGGGGCTGCAGCCTACGCCATCGCCGGCGACTCACGGCAGTCCAGCTCCAGGTCTAGCTGTTGTTCACCATCTTAGCTGTAGAGGGCAGTGTTACTGGCCTCATGTGGGATCTGAACTAGGGCCCTGCTGCTCAGAGCTGGCATCCCAAGCCAGCTCTTAACCAATGCGCCACTGGGCCAGCCCACAGGCAGTCTTGTTGTTAGGAGCACATGCTCTCATCAGCTGAGCCATCCTGCTACCTGTTGGCAGCTTAGTGGTAGGCTCAGCTCAGGCGTAGCGTCACTGGCTCATGTGGGAATTGAACCAGCGGCCCTGTTACTCAGAGCTCGCACTCTTAAGCTAGCTCTTAACTAACCGAGCCAATTGACGGGCCCCAAACTTTTCTTTAGCTTAAGTGGGGATATAAATCTCCGACCTCTGAGAAGCATACGGTTTACCCAAACAAGGGGGCCAGGGAAGGACAGCTCCTTCCAGCTCCCCACCGTGTTCTCCTCTCTCGGTCTTTGCTCACCGTATTGGGGTGCCCTCCCCACCCCACTAAATCCAAAGGTCTCCTCTTTGAATCTTTTCCTGACTTACGGTTGTGGTTTCGCTGCCATCTCTTATCTGTAGACCTTAGCTTTCCCACCCCTAATCTCAGCTCTCTGATATAACTTTTAGCAGTTTGTGTGTATTGTTGCAGACCTTTTTCATTGCATTGGCCTACATATGTATCCTTGTAGATATTCTAGTTTCATTGTGTGGGTGTGTTTTCCCATAAATGCTATAATGAATTATTCTGTAACTTGCCTTTTTCTTTTTCCATTAATATGTTAGAGGTCTTCCATGTCCAAGTATTTTCCTAGAAAATATATTTCTTAGAGTTGGCATTTGTGAGAGAGCTAGCTAGCATAAGGTTGAAGTTTATGGAACAAAGTTTTTTTTTATTTAAGATTTTATTGGTGAATTGGGGGAGGGGAATAGCATTGGGGAATCAAGGAAGGGGAACAGACAAGTTGCTGTCCTTTTGTTCTTCAGTCTAGTTGTGGAGGATGTCGCTTCACTGGCCCATGTTGGTA